ATACACAGCGGATGGCAGCTCCACTTCCTAGTCATCATTCAGCAACACGATCCTATAATAGAAAGATGTGGTTCAATCACCACATTTGCAAACAAGAGTCACAAGTAACTCCTTTCATCTCCAGACTCCTGACTGGCACGGCGTTTCCTCAGCGAACCTTCTCTCTACTGAGGAGAGCAGGTTCCAGTAGGAGATTGCAGTCAGCATCCATCAGAGTGAGCAGCCGGCAGACTGTATTCTTGAAAGTAAACCAACTGGTGGGGTAAAGTCCCTAACAACCTCTCCAGGGGCAGTAATCTACTAGCAAAGCAACATCGTGGCATGTGTGAGGCCGTGAAACCTAAACGGCCTGAAACAAATCCAACTTATGCTGAGGAGTCACAAGCAACATGACTAGACCAAGGAAATCTCTGGTCCAGTTCGGAGTTCTTGCTAGAGAAAACTAAAAAATCCACCAGGACCTTGAAGGAAGGGTCATGGCAGAGGAAACCAGACTTGGAAACCAGAGTCGCACAGGCCGGGAGCCTTCTCCCTGACTCCACAAGCCATGAAAGCATCATCCTGCTGACATACCTCCTGCACAGCCCTCAACCAGCACTGCACACTAACTCAATCCTTACCCTTCATTTTCACTCCAAGGAAAGGTTTTCCTGTGTAAACATATCTGCCTTCAAAATGGAAATCACGAGAAAATGGGATCCATTGTGCTGCCAATACTGCTGAAATATAACCCTCCAGAAAGTCAGGGTCCTCAGAAGAGTTACAAACACACTGAGAAGAATGTTCAATGTGTTATCTGTGCTCTTTACTTTATTTCCAAGAAGTCAGTGTTACCTAATATTTCTGGGCTCCAATAACTGTGCCAGTGAAACACAGGGAGAAGCATTACTTCTGGACAAGTTTCCCCGTTTTTATAGCTAATATGACAAAATCCACTTTTCAGCCAAACTTCCTCAACACAGAAGTTTAGATACTACTTCAAATACTATTAAATTTAACAGCAAGCCTAAATTCAGATTTTTCATTTCACTTTTGCACCTAGAAATTATTTTACTCAAAATAATTATGTCTTCAGATGATTTCCTATTTCCACTTGAAGTAGAAACAAATTACAGTACTTCAAATTCTATTTGCACTTCCCAATAGAAAGATGATTCATTTATGTGGCATCCACAAAAAATGAGTTCCTCCACACCAGGCTTTTCCCGGTAAGTGACACCCACAAATAGACAGCTTATCTGCAGTGCTCCCTGCTACATCCCCAGGGGCGTGAGGGTGCTGGTATACAGTAGCTGCTTGGTAAAGTTCACTAAACATATGACTAAGTACATCAAGGAAAAGCTTTTATTTCTTGCCATTTGATGAAATTTTTCCTGCAATGATTATAACCATCCTTCCTCCTCTGAAACATGACTCTAAAGTTTTTCTTATTACTTATTTTGTTGTTCTTGTTGTTGTTCTTGTTGTTTGTCCATCATGGGACTTGAACTCTGGGCCTGGGCACTGTCCCTCAGCTCTTCAGCTCAAGGCAAGAGCTCTACCACTTGAGCCACAGCACCACTTGCAGTTTTCTGGTCGTTTATTGGAGATAAGAGTCTCACAAACTTTCCTGCCTGGGCCAGCTTTGAACCGTGATCTTTAGATCTCAGCCTCCTGGGTAGCTAGAATTACAGGCATGAGCCCTGGGCACCTATCCAGCTCACCATGTTAAAATGCCCCAGCATGTTGTGTTGTACACTCAACACCTTTCCTTCTCTGATATTAGCTATCACTTCTGCCTCCTCTGCTGCTCCTTGACACACCAGTATATGGCAAGCTTTTAGAGCTAATACTGCCTCTGAGGCAGAATAAAACATAGGGACTTGGGCACAATTCAAAGTCTTTTCCACTTCTGACCTGCAGCCACATTGTCTGTGCATTTAACAGACTCTGAGCACACAAGCACCCCGCCACATTTCCCAGAATCTCAGAGGAGGTTCTCCACATTTTAAGTGCGTATTCTAGGATTTTCAGGAATGGGCTTGGTTTCAAATATTAATCATGAACAACGGCTGAAAAGACCAGCTCCAATGTAAACCTCAAGGCGTATTTTTTTAATCCATTTAGGAGACACCAGTGGCAGCAAAGCTGGATTTCATCTGGCCTGATGAGCTGTGATAGGGCCACAATTTAGATTCACTGTTCCAAAGTTCATGGCAGCAAAAAAAATCAAACACACTGGCAACCATGGGGTGCTGAGCTTGCCCAGAAAGGCCTATCTCCCCAAACCTGAGAGTGGAATGGATAATTTGAGTACAGCATTTAGTTTATACAATACAACTGGAGTTCCTTCCCCACAACAAACTTTGAATAATGTTTATAATTTAGTAATCAACTGAAATGATGAAAGAATTACCACAATTGAAATAAAATATTTATGTATTTCAAACCAGTAAAACTATGTCTTCAAAAGCTATGAGAAACCTAGTTCTGAATTAGGGATGGAGACAAAATGGGGGATTTGTTTATTTGGGTCTTTGGGTTGCTTTTCTTCTTAAAGATTTAATAAACTTTCATTTGAAATAAGCATAGTTTACTAAGTTAAAGGATCTGATTAAGTATTCCTTAAAAGTAACTAGCTGGGTAAACAATAAAGCACAAGTTATCCAAGAGTCAGGGAGAGAAAAATTACTTCGGACTGTTTTATGAACATTCTTCCAAATGCACCAATCCTTCAACAAAAATAGTTCAACGGGAGATTTCAGTTCCTGGTACTGAACTGAACAAAGAGAACCACATGTTTTTAATGGCTGCTCATAAACGACCCAAATAAATCTCTAAAAGAACAGCAGTGGTTCTTTCTGTACTTTTCCCTTCAAATTCACAAGACCGATTCCACACAGAAATAAAAATTACTGTACTTTATGGCACCACTCACTCTGTGACACATTTATTTGCTGTCATGAAAGTTAGTGCCTCAACAAAGTAAATGAGATTTAGGGGGAAAACTTGTTTTGTTTTGTTTTGTTTAATTTTAAACAGCACAAAATGTCCTTGCCATTTGTGGCAGAAAGAGTTTACCCACCTCAAATGAGAAGATTTTCAAACTAAGTGACAGACCTAAGTATTTATATACAACTGTTACAAGGAAGCTTTCCAAATAGCTTTCCAATCATTTCTGATGCTGACCTTAGATCAGGATTACATTGCTAACTACCATTTATAAGAAATGAAGCCTACAGAACACAAAATATCACTTACAATTTAACCACTGATGGGCTCTTTGCCCCTGACTTTAGCTGTGGATTAAAACAGAGCAACAGCACACCCTGCTGGAAGTTGGCAGGACAGCTAGCACTGTCAGCAGCTGAACCTAGCTCCCCACAAAGTGTGAATCACTTCAGAAACACCTCCCACTAAACAGGAAGCAGAAGTTCAGAGGCACTAACCACCAGGTGTCTGTAGGTGTGATCTTAAAGGTTAAATTAAGGCTTTCAAGTAAACAACTTCCAAATGAAAAGATACGGCCTTTTCTTGCTCATTTCTCCAGCTCCACAAAGCCCAACTACCCCCAAGTAATTCTAATAGATGGATTTGGCCCAAAATAATGGTATTTGCAAATTGCTATCTGTAAAGAAAAACTGGTGATCACATAAAAGAGGAAACTGAAGCTATTTTCTGCACACAATTGCCTGATTCTGCATACAAGCCCATCTTGGCTCAAAAACACCCCTAAAGACCACCATTAAGAATCCGCAAGGCAGCTTGGTGGTCTGTGAACCACAATTTACATGTCATTGGCAAAATGCCTGCACAGATTCTGGAATTCGAAACATGCCAACTGTATTAAGAAACCACAACCATGAAACAGCTAGTGTGTCTCGCAATCACAGAAACCAGTGCAGCCATTAGCTAGCTAAGTAATCCAGCTCCATGCTGTCTAATTCAAATGTATATGAATAAGGAATAGAAATATAGGAATAGATGCTGGGTGCCAGTGGCTCACACCTATAATCCTGGCTACTCAGGAGGCTGAGATCTAGGATTACAGTTCAAAGCCAGCCCACACAGGAAGTCCATGATACTTTTTTTTTTGGCCAGTCCTGGGGCTTGAACTCAGAGCCTGGGCACTGTCCCAGAGCTTCTTTTGCTCAGGCTAGCATTCTACCATTGGAGCCACAGCACCATTTCTGGCTTGTTCTGTGTATGTGGTACAGAGGAATCAAACCCAAGCCTTCATGCATGCTAGGCAAGCACTCTACCACTAAGCCACACTCCCAGCCCCCATGAGCCTCTTATCTCCAATAAACTACTCAGAAAAAGCCATTAAGTGACAATCTGGCTCAAGCGACAATAGTGCTAGCCTTGAGCACAAAGAGGCTCAGGGACAGCACCCAAGCCCTGAGTTCAAGCCCCAGAGGAAAAAAATATATAGGAATAGAAAAACATCAAAGTTCTGAGCTGTCTTGGCTAAAGAAACAAAACTCCTTTGCACCACTCAATGACATTATTCTGATGACATCCTACGAACAACCTTCTCACTTCTCATAAAAAAGGCTGGGTCATCAACCTGCAGTGCATTCTTTTTTTTTTTTTGTCGGTCGTGGGACTTGAACTCTGGGCCTGGGCGCTGTCCCTCAGCTCTTCAGCTCAAGGCGAGCGCTCTACCACTTGAGCTACAGTGCCACTTCCGGTTTTCTGGTGGTTTATTGGAGATAGGAGTCTCAAGGTCTCTCCTGCCTGGGCTGGCTTTGAACCGCGATCCTCAGATCTCAGCCTCCTGAGTAGCTAGGATTACAGGCGTGAGCCACCAGTGCCCGGCCTGCAGTGCATTCTTTAGAAAAATTAGCAATTCTGGTTTTCCAGAACAATGAACAAGGCCAAGGAAGATCAAACACATCAGCATAATTTTCTTCAAGAAGTACAAAGGTAATAAGCAACTGAAGCTATCACTAGTGGTACTTACTATTTGGCTCATTATTTCAACCAAGATATATTTGGATTAGAACTTTCATACTGACCTCAAGCCTCTTTTCAAGTGATTCAATTCTATCCTTTTTGCTGGCTAGATTGGCCCGTGTGTAGCGGCTTTGCCCAGGAAGATACAAAACTTGACTGTAGCACTCTTCCCACACCTGGTTGTAAGCTTCACTGGAGAGCTCACCATGGCTCATTCCTTGTTTTACCACTTCCATCTCTTGTACCAGAATGTCCTGGGCCTGTTTACAATAAGAAATTCAGTAAGTTTAAATTCCATAAATACTAGTCAACGCTGGAGAACTTAAAACTAGTCCAAGCTGATGCAGTGGCTAACAACTGTAATTCTAGCTGTTCTGTAGATAAGAGATTAGGAGGATAGTGGTTCAAGGCCAGCTTATACAACAAGTTCACAAAATCCCCATCTTGATCAATGAAGAGCTGGATGTGGTGGTATACACCTGTCATTCCAGCTATGTAGAAAGTGTAAATAGGAGGATAAGGGACCAAGCCCACCCAAGCAAAAAGCAAGATCCAACTGGAAAAATATCAAAGCAGAAAAGACTGGGGGGGGGGGGGGTCTCTGACTCAAGTAATAAGAGCATCTGCCTGGAAAGTGTAAGACCCTTAGTTCAAATCTCAATACAACAACAAAAAAAAGAAAAAGAAAAAGAAAAAACTAGTCTCTTTTTCCCTTAAGCCAAAGGCTAGGAATATTTTTTTTTTTTCCAGTCAGTTGTGAAGCTTGAACTCTGGGCATGGGTGCTGTCCCTGGCTTCAGCTCAAGGTAAGCGTTCTACCTACCACTTGAGCCACAGTGCCTCTTCCAGTTTTCTTGTGGTTAATTGAGGATAATAGTCTCCCAGACTTTCCTGCCCAGACTGGCTTTGAACCGCGATCCTCAAATCTCTGCCTCCTGAGCAGCTAGGATTATAGGCGTGAGCCACCAGTGGTGCCTAGCAAGGCTAGGAATTTTGATCAGCTGTTTTTTGTTTGTTTTTAAGAATATTAAGCCAAATCAATCAAGAAACCCCTAAGTAAAGGCAAACTGATTTTCAGAAGTCAAGCACCATGGTCCTAATAGTATAAACATCATTTGCTTTTTTTTTTTTTAGCAGTACTAGAGTTTGAACTCAGAGCCTTGCACTAGCTAGACATATGTTCTACCACTTGAACCATATTCCCCAGCCCTTTTGCTTTTGGTATCTGGGAGGGCAAGTTCTTGCATTTGTGCCCAATCTAGCTTGGCTCCAGATGCTCCAATGACAACTCCCGTGTAGCTAGGAAGAATGTGCACACAACCAAAGCAAGCTCGTATCTGTCCACAACACATAGCATCTAAAAGCACTTCATCCTATGACAGAAACAGTCTGCTCATTCGTACCTTTTTCAGCTCTTCTTTGGAGAACTTCTCATAAGGGCTATGCTCCAAATAGGTAATGTGTTCTGCATTGTTTGTACCAAATGCTACAGTTTTTCCTTTCTTACTTCCAGAGGGTTCGTAGGGATGGTGCAGAAGATCATAATGAAGCATTGTAATCATTTCCTTTTTGATTAGTTCTTCACTTTTTTGCAAATCTGTCAGAGGTGGCTCTACATTTAAGGGTCTTAGAATAGTTTCATTTACCTAAAATTTTAAAACAAGTACAATTACCAAATATACCACTGCAATATACTAATAATACCATACTTACAGTACACATTAAACAGCAATTATTTTCAAAAATGACGTTTTTTTCCTCCTAAATACTTAATGATCTCTGAAAGACATGTAAAAATTGGGTATGCTAACTACTATATTGTAGGAAGCAAATGAAATTTTGTGAATGACATAAAAGCACCAATCAATTAAAACTTCCTAAACCAAAGATCCTCACTTACTTCAGAAGGTCTTGGCAGATCTTTCTGGACAGCCTTATGCATTCGCTTCATTTCTTTCACCCGCTCAGCTTCTCGTATGGCCTGAAAAAAGATTTTATGTCCATTACTGCATCTATCCAGTATTTTACACTTCTCATCAAGTATACTCAAAAACTAAAGCTGGAGCTTTGTAGAAAGGTAATGTTTGTAGAAAGATAATGGTAAAGCCACAGAAATACTCAGTAGATCCATTCTCATTATACAATAGAAACTAAGATCTTCCAGTGTCCACCAGAGAATTCTCTGTAATTACCTCACTCCATCATAACTCAGGAGACTTCCACACACCCTTTCCCTTCAGCCAAAGCTAGTGACTTCATTTAAAAGCCAACCCATGTGTTCTTATACTCAAGTCGTGAATATCTTACTCAATAAAACTTCATGTCATTTACGAGAAAGTAAATGTAACTCAAAGTAGTTGGGAACAAAACACAAGGTTGTCTGCTCTTCACATTCACACGGCTCCCCTCTAAAACAGGACTTCCACTGAATTCTTGATTTGTTCTCACAGAGACTGCAGCAGAACTAACTGAAACAAGCTACTGAGTCTCCACACTATTGGAGGACTCACCAATTACTAGCCACAAAACTGAGGAAAACTCACTCCTGTGAGTATAAAAAGGGAGCTAATGAGCCAGGCACCAGTGGCTCACGCCTGTAATCCTCAGGAGGCTAAGATCTGAAGATCATGGTTCAAAACCAGCCCAGGCAAGAAAGTCCATGAGACTTTTATCTCTAATTAACCACCAGAAAACCAGATGTAGCACTGTGGCTCAAGTGGCAGAACACTCACCTTGAGCAGAAGAGATCAGGGACAGCGCCCAGGCCCAGAGTTCAAGCCACATGACCAAAAAAAAAAAAAAACACCGGGGGGGGGGGGGCCTAATGCCTGTCAATTATATGTAATTATATATACTTATGACATTTTCCAAATCCAGGTTTTAGTAGTTTACACTGACTAGAAACTATTTTCTTCAACTAACCCAAGATCTTCTTGTTTGAACACATCTTTTCTAGAGTTGAAGCAATGTCTAGAAGACTACCTGTGTGTTTTAAAGAAGCATAATGAACTGCAGTTGATATTTCCATATACCTATTCATTTTAAGAAGCTCATCAAATTCTGAGGATACAATCAGTTACATCAGTATGCATTACTCATGATCTATTTTGTTGAATATTGGGAAACGTTCAGAGCGAAGATGTGGAGACAGGAAGCAGCCCCTCTTCCCTGTGGTGCTGCCCGGCACACCGGGCAAGCCCTCACTCGTTTCTGTACCATCACTCACCTGCTTCCGTGCATCCACATCTGCGGCATCTTCGATGTATGTTTCATCTACCTCCCGCTCCTCCAGCTCCTTCTCGGCATTTTCTGGTAGAACGATTTCAAAATCATTCTTAGGGGCAGGAAGGCCCATCAGTCCTAAACGGAGATGTTCACGAGATTCTCTTTCCTGTGGAAAAGGATTGTTGTTCTTCAATTCGTGTTTATCAAGAATTCAACCATGCCAGGCGCTGGTGGCTCACGCCTGTAATCCTAGCTGCTCAGGAGGCTGAGATCTGAGGATCGCGGTTCAAAGCTAGCCCGGGCAAGAGAGACCATGAGACTCCTATCTCCAATAAACCTCCAGAAAACCGGAAGTGGTGCTGTAGCTCAAGTGGTAGAGCGCTCGCCTTGAGCCGAAGAGCTCAGGGACAGCGCCCAAGCCCAGAGTTCAAGCCCCACGACCAACCAAAAAAAAAAAAAGAATTCAACCATATTCATTCTCTGAATTTCCCAAAAACCCAGCTGACCTAACATCAATTTAGAAAAATGATCCTGACTTCAGAATTGGTCTTTTCTTCTTTCTTTTACTGAAGACAGGTTCTTGTCATGTACTCTAGGCCTGCCTAGAACTCACAAGGCTCTTGGCACTACCTCCTGAGTACTAGGAATATATGCCACTATGCCTGAGTTCATTCTTTTTTTTTTTTGCCAGTCCTGGGGCTTGAACTCAGGGCCTGGGTACTGTCCCCGAACTTCTTTTGCTCAAGGCTATCACTCCACCACTTGAACCACAGTGCCACTTCCAGCTTTTTCTGTTTATGTTATACTGAGGAATGGAACCCAGGACTTCATGCATGCTAGGCAAGCACTCTACCACTAAGCCACATTCCCAGCCGAATGATTTAATTCGTATACAAGCATTTAGAAATGGCATTCATTGGTACCAATTAAACATTAAAAGAACTTCAGGCTAGCCTGAGCTACAGGCTCAGAATTAGGACCTCAAGACTCAAAAAAATAAATTAACCAATGTATATGTGAAGATGTATAAGGTGCATTATATGTGTATATAAATAATGTTTATAGTATTAGAATTATTAGAATTCACTAAAAAAAAATCACTGACATTACATAAGGCCCAACAGTAAAAAATAAAAGCATTTAAGATTCATCAAAACTGAATCTTTATTTGGGTTTGTTTTTTGCTGGTCCTGGGGCTTGAGCTCAGGACGTGGGTGCTGTCCCTGGGCCTCTTCATGCTCAAAGCTAGCACTCTACCACTTGAGCAACAGTGCCACTTCCAACTTTTTTGAGTAGTTTATTGGAGATAAGAGTCTCACAGGAGCCAGGCACTGGTGGCTCACTCCTGTAATCCTAACTACTCAGAAGGCTTGAGATCTGAGGATCGAGGTTCAAAGCCAGCCTGGGCAGGAAAGTCCGTGATACTCTTATCTCTAATTAACCAGAAGTGGTGCTGTGGCTCAAGTGGTGGAGTGCTCACCTTGAGGTAAAGAGCTGAGGGACAGCGCTCAGGCCCAGAGTTCAAGTCCTACAACTGGGGGGGTAGGGGTGAGGGTTTCATAGGGACTTTTCTGTCTGGGCTGGCTGCAAACCACAATACTCAGATCTCAGCCTCCTGAATAGCTAGGATTACAGGCGTGAGCCCAGCTTAAAACTTAATTTTTATAATTAGCTTTGAGTTCTAGGTTCTCCTAAACATACAAAATAATTCAGAAGGGGCTGGGAAGGTGGCTCAATGGTAGAGCGCTTGCCTTGCAAGCATGAGGCCCTGGGTTCGATTCCTCAGCACCACATAAGCAAAAGGAAAAAAGCTGGAAGTGGTGCTGTGGCTCAAGTGGTAGAGTACTAGCCTTGAGCTGAAGAGCTGAGGGACAGCGCCCAGGCCCAGAGTTCAGGCCTTCGACCGGACCCAAAAAAAATAATAATAATAATAATTTCAGAAAAATTCAGGTTGAAAATCGATTTATGAGATATTTGAAACTCAAGACTTAATTTATAGAAATAGAAAAGTAGGGGCTGGAAAGGTAGCTCAGTTGGTAGAGTGCTTGCTTTGCATGCATGGGCCCTGGATCCGATTCCTCAGCACCACATATGCAGAAAAAGCTGAAAGTGGTGCTGTGGCTCAAGTGGTAGATTGCTATCCTTGAGCTGAAAAGCTGAGGGACAGCGCCCAGGCCCAGGCCCAGGCCCAGAGTTCAAGCCCACAACAGACCAAAAAAAAAAAAAAAAGAAAAAGAAATAGGAAGTAGCTCTATGGCTCAAGTGGTAGAACGCTCGCCTTGAGCTGAAGAGCACAGGAAGAGTGCCCAAGCCCAGAGTTCAAGCCCCACAACCAACCAAAAAAAAAAAAGAAATAGAAAAGTAAAACAAATGTATCCTTCGTAAAAGGAAGTATTAATTAGTAAATGACAAAAGTCAGTAAGAGATACAAGAGCATTACTTTCAGCTCTTACCAATATTCAAGTTCCAGTCCTACCAAAAGCGCGCACGCGTGTGTGCACATAGAAAGGGAACTGATATTTACCATCTGCTTCACATAAGAGGGATCACTGTAATCTGCCATTCCATCCTCTGGGTTAATGTTTAATTTGTCTCTAAGTGGAGTTCGACCAGGGGTAGAGTTTGTCACAGGCTTGGGGGTGGTTCCACTCCGGGGAGTCAGCCCTTCAGCTCCATTAGAAGGAGTCCTTGAAAACAGAAATTCCAGTTAGTAAGAGTGCCACACATATTTGCAAATTTTTTCACATAAATTATTTCACAGGAAATGCAGAAGAGAAATAAAACATCCCAAAACTTCTCTTATTTTACATTATTCTTTATACTATGATATAAGTTCAAACTAGTGAGCACGGTCTTTACATGTAATATATTTACTGACTTCCAATAGTCTTTATACTTGACATTTTCTTGCCTTCCTAAATAGGTCCACCCAATATCATTTCAACCTTCATTTGATACCTTAGGATGGCTAAGGAGAGGTAGTGATCCTGGATGACTTTCACCAACCAAGTTGTTCCCTGTCAGGTCACTGACATCAGTACTTAATGTAATTTAAGTGGGTCACCCCTTTACTTTGTATCTGGAAACCAACCACCACGTTTACAGAATCTCATATAAGTAAGCACATGTGACGACTTGGAGACTCTCCCAGCAATACAGCCCACAGACTTTGCACCTTGTATTTTAATTGTTCAAAGCCTTTCTTATGTTTTGTTTGCTTACTTCCTGTATCTTGGCTGGGATCCACATTGATGGTGCTGTCAGACAGCTGTTCCCGAGAGGTGAAGTAATCGTTTAAGACATGGTCCCTGCCCCCAAGGAGCTTACAATCTAGTTGAGAAATAAGACATACACAAAAAAACAGCAATTAGGCTCTCAAGAAACACTGAATGTGATATAGGGACTGGCTGCCAGTGCTTCTTGATTGTGCTATCAAGTACACATGAACCAGCCTGAAGGGCTTTCTCTACTGAACAACAACCCACAAGGACATCCAAACACTTACAAGTAAACATCAAACATTAAGTGCTTAATAAGCTGAAATTCCATTTTAATATGACTTGCCTCTGTGACATTTATATCTTAAAAGATTCCTACAAAGAAGCCGAGTGCCGGTGGCTCACATCTGTAATCCCAGCTACTCAAGAGGTTGAGATCTGAGGATCAAGGTTCAAAGCCAGCCCAGGCAGGAAAGTCCAAGAGACTATTATCTCCAATAAACCACTAGAAAACCGGAAGTGGCACTGTGGCTCAAGCGGTGAAGCAGTAGAGCACTCGCCTTGAACTGAAGAGCTGAGGGACAGCGCCCAGGCCCAGAGTTCAAACCCCACAACCAACCAAAAAAAAGATTCCTACAAAGAAAAATCCCCATTCGATATAGGAAGTTCCACTGCCAGGCCTAGGCTCTCACAGCTCCCAACCTTTGCTGATGCTGTACTATACCCAGGAAGCCATCACCCCATGCCAGCCTATGGAATCAAGCCTAGCTGTGAAGTCACTTTTCAGGAAGCTCCCAACCTGCATTACTCCTTCCTGCTCTACTACGAAGTAGAAATTATCTTTCTCTGCTCTAGGATACCAGCATTTAATGACAGAGACCAGGCCTTATCAATTCAATCCTGTTGTGTTCACACCTCTTTCTTCTTTCTAGCTGACCTAATCTCTCTGCTGGGCCACTCACTCTTGTTCGGTCTCCTTCAAGCTCTCTCAATTTCCCTCTTCCCCCTGGCCCTCCTCTGCTTCACTAGAAAATGCTAACTGCCACTTGCAATTACCTCCAGGGCTATTACCCAGTTAGACTCTATTCTGTAATCCTAGCTACTCAGGAGGCTGAGCTCTGAGGATCGTGGTTCAAAGCCAGCTCGGGCAGGAAAGTTCCCCACCCATAAGATTTTTTTTTTTGGTCGGTGTGGGCCTTGAGTGCTGTCCCTGTACTCTTCAGCTCAAGGCAAGTGCTCTACCGCTTGACCCACAGCACCACTTCCGGTTTTCTAATGGTTTATTGGGGATAAGAGTCTCACGGACTTTCCTGCCCAGGCTGGCTTTGAACCAAGATCCTCAGATCTCAGCCTCCTGAATAGCTAGGTTACAGGTGTGAGCCACCAGCACCCAGCCCCCATAAGATACTTATCTCCAATTAACCACTCAAAACCTGGAATGGCACTGCAGTTCAAGTAGTAGAGCACTAGCCTTGAGCACAAAGGGGCTCAGGGACAGTGCCCAGGCCCTAAATTCAAGCCCCACAACTAGCCAAAAATTAATAATAAAAAAAACAACTCAGAGACAACATCCAGGCCAAGTTCAAGCCCCACAACTGATATTAAAATAATAAAAATAAAAACATACTGCAAAACAAACTGAAGCCTTAAAGAAGTTCTAGTATTGAACCATTTCCTTAATACTATTATATGATTTATTATGAGAAGTAAGTAGAAATCAGAAAGGCAAACAGAACATTTATTTCTATTCTGTCAACATTACGAAATAAACATGCTGCCCTAGTCCATAGATTCAAGGTTTTCTAAAATATAGAATGCACTCATTGGGGGGAGGAGGGTTGGGTAGGGGGTGGGGGGAGGATGGGATAGGAAGGGGAAACAAAGGAGGAGGCTACAATGCTTGATAAGAAATGTACTCATTATCTTGCCCATGTAATTGTAACCTCTCTGTACAGTATTTTCACAATAAAAAAAACCCGCACTCGTTCTCGCAATACCTGAATGGGGTAGAAAGAACTGTGTTGGGAGTCTGCACCACTTGCCGCTGTGGAGTCACACCAGAGAAGTCACTCTCATGCAAGGGGGTGTTCAGTCCACCTTTTAAGGGGGTGTCCACGTTGGTCAGGGCCATGAGGTTCTGGGCCTCCTGATTAACAAGAACACAAAGAAGCACGTTTAACAGTTTACAAATTTTGAAACAGACAAAAATTCTTTCACATCTTCTCAATGAAAACCAATAGAGCCAGGTGCTCATGGCTCACACCTGTAATCCTAGCTACTCAGAAGGCTGAGATCTGAAGATCACAGTTCAAAGCCAACCCAGGCAGAAAGCCCCATGAAATTCTTATCCAATTAGCTACTCAAAAACCAGAAGTAGATTTGTAGCTTAAAGTGGTAGAGAGCTACCCTTGAGCAAAAGAGCTGAGACAGTGCCCAAGCCCTGAATTCAAGCCACACAACTGACAACCCCACCCCCACCCCACCCCCAGCAAAAAAAAGAAAAAGTAAACCAACAGAGAAAATGAATACTGGGCCATGGCAAATTTCAGTATTTCCATTCCTCTGGCAACAGAAGACAGCACATCAGAGGTGCTAAATAAAGTGTACCTGTCAAGTTATGCTGTTGCAAACTCACATAGGGAACTGCCACTGCCCAAAACCTTCTAAAATCTTCTACTAGCTGTGCCATCTCTCTTTACAAATGCAAGGTGCCAAGAATGCAAGTTCCCCAATGCCAGCTGAGGTCAATGTCAGAACACCTAGGTTTTAGTTTGGCTTCATCACTAATTCCTTATCTAATCTTCATAGCATCTCTAAGTCTCCTGGAAAGTTAAGATACTCCAAGTAGCCCACCACAAGGCTCCTAGGTTCATGTTCCTTTCAGAAGTCATGCTTGACCTCTTTAGGCAGAACAGACTACTCAGAATCAATGAGTCCTCCGTCCTCTGTACTCAGTATGTACTCATTACATCCTCTCACCTCAACCACAATTATGATTGGCTCAGTGGTTAAGCACTTGCTTGGCATGTGTAAGATTCTTAGTTTAACCCCCAGCACAGCACAAAATATTTAAAAGAATAAAACAATATAGTAACAGGGGCCTCTGGAGCGAGTGATAAGGAGATCAACTGTTTTTCTCACTAAGCCTTCCACAACTATTTAACTCTTGAATCAAGGATCTGAAATTGTATTGCTGACTCCGTTCCACTCCTGCCCACAAATTCCATGTCCACAGGCACTCATCTAGGAAGTAAGCTCCCAGGCCTCTGCTCCACTCCACTGGTCCAACTGGACAGCATTAGACTATGTGAAGCAAGCTAAGTCAAAGGACCAGAGCACGCAGTAAACTAAAGGAGACGTTCTCTTCTCCACATTTCCCAAACTTTCTCACAGCTACCATCTCAAAAAAGTATAACAGAAAAATAAAATAAGAGATTCACTTAACTGGCAACTCCTTTGTACAATAAAGACATTATTTTTTTAATGGAGAAACAACAGTATTTGCAGATATTCTGGAAACACAAGCTGTGGCTGGTGTGATGGAGGAGGGGAATGTGGTGCTGCTGGCATACTGTTACAGGAACACAAAGAAGTTTGAAAATTCACTATTTCCTAATCACACATATGACTTTCTTCTAGGATTACTAGGCAATGTGAAACATTAAGGTGTGGTGCTTTGCTAACAGGTAGAAAGGACCAGAGAAGGGAAGGGCTAGCTTCAAAAGTTATAAATCAAAGGATGAAGAAATGACATCTGAAGTACACAGTTCCTGAAGTAACCAGTAATCAACTGACTTCACTTCTTTACCACAGAAATAAATGCCCTCAGATGTCTATGCATTCAGGAATCAGCTTCAAACTGCTGATCCAAAAAGAACTACTTAGTCCTCTTTATTGACACTTTTAAGGACAATAAACCAAGTGAAAGATATGTGACACCATACCTGCAGAATTCTGTCCTGCGAAGCTGGTGTTCTCGGGGTCCTAAGAGCAATGCTGTTGTTGGTGACATTGTACTCAGACAAAAGAGTGCTGGATGCAGAGTTTGTTATGCCAGACTCCTCAGCAGTCTGACGCGCCATCTCACTTGCTTGCCCTACTTTCACAACCTCCTGGAGCTCTGCATCTGAAATCTGGAAGAACACAATCATCAAAGTCCTTACTACCTGTGGTTTTAAAATGTAACAGAAAAATAAAAACATTCACCTAATTGGCAACTCCTTTGTACAACTACTTAAAGATACTTTTTGTTTAATTAACAAGGTGCTGGTGGCTCACACCTCTAATTCTAGCTACTCAGAAGGCTGAGCTCTGAGGATCTTAGTTCAAAGCCAGTCCAGGCAGAAAAATTCCCATGAGCTTCTCATCTCCAATTAATTACTCAAAACACTGGCCAATAATGATTACTTCTAACCACCACAAACTATGAGAACTCTCACAGAGGAGTGTTCTTATTTCTCAACCCATCACAATGACTGATTTTGATAGGTGGCTCATCACTGTACTGTGAATATTTTAAGAGTACTCAAGACACGCCTGTTACATAGGCCCTCAATTGCCAAATAAATGAAATACCACGTAAATCCAAACAATGAGATAAGCATATAAATTCACAAGATGAAAATACTACTTTAATCAAATTACCTGGGGGGCAGGAAGTACTAGTTTGCTTCTTTTTTTAGTAAACTCAGAAACTCCACTGGTCTGAAGAATTGCTGATGGTAAATCAGATTCCTTTTTTCTTTTCAAGTGCTGTTTGTCTTTTTTCCTATCTCTTCCTTCTTTTTCACTGCCATAAATCAGGAAGTTATGCATAAGCAATTAACATTAGATGCCATATTCATAACCTCTAAACAATCTTTGTCTTATGGGAATAACTAAGGCAACAAAAAAAGATTTTCTGGGCTGGGAACATGGTTTAGTGGTAGACTACTTGCCTAGCATGCATGAAACCTTGGGTTCGATTCCTCAGTACCACATAAACAGAAAAAGCCAAAATGGTACTGTGGCTCAAGTGGTAGAGTATTAGCTTTGAGCAGAAAAAAAAAGCTCAGGGACAGTGCCCAGTCTCTGAGTTAAGCCCCAGGACTGGCAAAGAAACAAAAAATAAATTAAAAAAAAAAAAAGATTTTCTAAAATGCACATTAAATTGCTCCCTATGAAGATTGCAAATTAGAATAATGTCTATTAAGAAACATCGAGTACAGCCAGATGCCGATGGCTCACTCCTGTAATTTTAGCTACTCAGAAGGCTGAGATCTGAGGTCATGGTTCAAAGCCATCCTGTGCTAAAAGTCCATGAGACTCTTATCTTTAATAAACTACTGATAAAAAGTCAGAAGTGGTGATATGGCTCAAGTGGCACAGTGCCAACCTTAGGCAAAAGCAGCACAGGGATGACACCTAGGCCCTGAGTTCAGGCCCCAAGACAGGCATTTAAAAAAAAGGAACCAGAATATGGTTTTGGTTTTCATTTTTCTGGTTGGCCATGAGGCTTGAATTCTGGGCCTGAGCACTGTCAGCCCTGAGCTCTTCAGCTCCAGGCCAGCGCTCTACCACTTGAGCCACAGCGCCACTTCCAGTTTTCTGGTGGTTAATTAGAGATAAGAGTCTAAACAGACTTTCCTTGCCCAGGCTGGCTTGAATTGCAATCCTCAGATCTCAGCCTCCTGAGCAGCTAGGATCAGAATATGTTTAGGAAGATTTCTTCCATTGTAAACACTTCATCTGTTCACAATGTACACATAAATGTTAAGATGTGGTCAGTGAGTAGACAGTCAACTGAGAGAACTGTGATTCAAGGGCCATACATACAGCATTCTGTGCTAAAAACATGACAGCCAGGGTCACTGGCTTTCCCACAAAATTAAGCCCATTAAAGAGACAGAAGGATAACCAGTACCCATCAGGCTAAATAATATTCTAGTTTGGACAAAGACAATACTTAGAACTTAAAAAAAAATCCTGTTATATATTTATTTCCAAAATCCAAAAGAAACTCACGATCTTAGCTCCCCATCAAGATCCTGTTGTCTTAGTTTCCTGAAATCTGCATCAAGGGCCTGGTAGTTTTCCTCAGAGGTATCATAAAAACCAAGAGCAGGCTTTTTTTCGAATGGAATCTCAGCATTATAATCAACTCCTCTCTTCTTTTTTCTTTTCTTCTGAATTTCTATACCAGCTGCTCGAAGTTCTCGTCTTTTTTGAAGAGCAGCAAGACGCCTGAATAAAGAGAATACAAAACCACCCAGAATATCACTTACTATGGGCCGACAATGATCACTCACCAAAGTTAAGAAAACTATCTGGTTTTTGGGAGAAAGAAATACTCATTTAAGCCCTCACCTCATATCATTCACCAAACCCAAGTTTTGACTTAAAGAATAGAAAAAAGCAAATGGAAAAGCCAGAGACAACCATAGAAAATTTGTAGCTTCTCTTTGGATGAGAATGTACTTACTAAGTTAAATAATTGTCAAAGGAAATCACTAGTTTTGAGATTTTTTTTTTCAGTCATGGGGCTTGAACTCTGGGCCTAAGCACTGTCCCTCTGCTCTTCAGCTCAAGTCGAGTGCTCTACTACTTAAGCCACAGTGCCACTTCCGGTTTTCTGGTGGTTAATTGGAGATAAGAGTCTCACAGACTTTCCTGCCTGGGCTGGTCTTGAACCGCATTCCTCAGATCTCAGCCTCCTGCTTAACTAGGATTATAGGCATGAGCCACCACACCCGGCTTTGAGATGTTTTTTAACTGCAGCACTATAACAAAATTGTAAAATTAAACTGAAAAGAAAAAAAGATTTGTAATAAATATGAGGTTCAGTAGTAAGACTATAAAGAACCTTAGGTAAAGATTTTCCAAAACTCATTCCAACAGGAGTTTTAAAAAAAGGTAAGTGAAAATAAGTAATAGCATAGCAGTTGCAGAGCCCTATACCCTCTCTTCTCCCCCCATCCTCCTTCCCTACTTCCTGCCCACTCCCTACCCCCACTAGGGCAGGAGGAAGAAATGCCAAGCCACATGGACCAGCAAGAACACAGGCTCTGGGAAAGAAGGACAGAGAACAGAAAGTTCCAAACTTCTTTCAACAGGAACTGACTTCATTTGCAACAGTGCACTGGGCACTCCTAATACAGTGCATGTAGTGGTAAAAGGCAAGTGGGAAGGAACTGATAGAGCCATTCATTGGAGATAAAGGCAAAACGGAAGGTGACTCATTTGCCAAAGAGAAACTGAAAGGTAGGAGGGAGGAGCCCTCTTGGAGTCAGAACAAATCTCAAATAATTCTCAAGAATTATCCCTTCATATGACCCTAACTGGATTGGATCCACTTGTGGATCCCCAGGACACTGCTGGAAAAAAATACAGAAAACAGCCCGAGGTAGTCAAGGAAAGGATGTCAAAGGTTGTTGGCAGAATACTTGCCTAGCTCCGAAAATTAACTTATTTGGTAGCAATCATGGGTTTAGCCAAAAAAAAATAAGAAAGAGATAGAGAAAATCATGGTTAAAGGCAATGACTACTTTAGCTCAATTTTTAGACAGACATTTATTTCTATGAGGCTGGGACTGTGGTTCAGTGGTAGAATGCTAGCCTAGCATGCATGAAGTCTTGGGTTCCATTCCTCAATAACACACACACAACACACACACACACACACGCCGGAATTAGCACTGTGGCTCAAGTGGTACACACACACACACACACACACACACACGCCGGAATTAGCACTGTGGCTCAAGTGGTACACACACACACACACACACACACACACACGCCGGAATTAGCACTGTGGCTCAAGTGGTACACACACACACGCCGGAATTAGCACTGTGGCTCAAGTGGTACACACACACACACACACACACACGCACACACGCCGGAATTAGCACTGTGGCTCAAGTGGTAGAGTGCTAGCCTTGACCCAAAAATGTTCAGGGACAATGCCCAGGCCCTGAATTCAAGCCCCAGGACTGACTAAAAAAAAAAAAACTAAAGTGGGTTCAAAGCTCATTAACTCCCTCTCTGTTCAGAAGTGATGGCAGTTTCCCAGCCAGTGCCTGCCCGACTAATCAAGGAGAGTAACTAGCTGGCAGCCGTGCAAAATTCACACAGCCTTGTGTGGCCAAGGTGCCACAGCAAACCAAACACCACAGAGTGGGGGAAACATAGTACGTCTGTCATGACTCACAAAATTTTCAAAATATGTATATTTTTCTATAACTAATCTAAAATGGGTAGAGGGGGCTGGGAAGGTGGCTCAGTGGTAGAGCGCTTGCCTTGCATGCATGAGGCCCTGGGTTCGATTCCTCAGCACCACATAAGCAAAAAGAAAAAAGTCGGAAGTAACTCTGTGGCTCAAGTGGTAGAGCGGTAGCTTTGAGTTGAAGAGCTGAGGGACAGTGCCCAGGCCCAGAGTTCAGGCCCCACAACCGGACCCAAAAAATAAATAAATAAATAAATAAAATGGGTAGAGAAAAAAACAAGTGAGCATGAAAATCAAAAGTCCATCCCCAGTTCCACAAAAAATATAAAGCAGCACCAGGGCTAAATATCAGAAAAACAAGAATTGGATAATTGAGATTACTATTCACCAAACAAGGTCAATTAATCATGCCTTACTGGATCTAAGGACAAGGACCATGAACATGGAAAGAGAAACCTACCTTGCTTCTTCCAACTGCTTCTCTCTTGCTTTTCTCTTGGCCTTCTTTCCCTGAGTATTTGCCAGGCGAGCTCTAGCTTCAGAAAGCATCTCGAGTTCATCTGCAAAAAGAAAAGAAAAACCATGTTCCTCTGTAACATAAACAAGCTATGTCATATAGACACTACATCATAGTGTCTAAAAGCCTAAAAAAAGAAAATTAAGCTGAACACTGGCAGCTCATGCCCGTAATCCTAGCTACTCAGGAGGCTGAGAGGATCTGTTCAAAGCCAGCTGGGGCAAGAAAGTCATGAAACTCTTATCTCCAATAAACCAACAGAAAACCGCAAGTGGCGCTGTAGCTCAAGTGGTAGAGCGCTAGCCTTGAGCTGAAGAGCTGAGGGACAGCGCCCAGGAAAAGAGTTCAAGCCCCATGATCAACAACAACCAAAAAAAAAACGGAAGTTGGAGGTGTACTGGCCAAAAGGAACAACTATTCTAGCTGGGTGTGGGGATAAAACAGCAGCAATCCTGAGGCAGAGGACCTCAAGTTCTAGGCCAGCCTGAACAATAGCATACACCGTCTCCAAAAAAAAAAGAAAGGGGAGAGAGAAACAGGGAAGAGGGGATGGGAAAGCAACTATTCCATAATAGAAAAGACTTGGAAAGATAGAGATTTGGGCCCAGTGCCTATAATCCTAGCTAATCAGGAGGCAGAGATCTGAGGATCATGGTTCAAAGCCAGTCCAGGCAAGAAATTCCCTGAGACTCTTATGTCCAATGAACCAACAGAAAACTGAAAGTAGCGCTGTAGCTCAAGTGGTAGAGCGCTAGCCTTGAGTTGAAGAGCTTGGGGACCCGCCCAGGCCCAGAGTTCAAGCCCCATGACAAAAAAAAAAGAGAGAGAGAGAGAGAGAGAGATCTAGAAAGAGTCTAAAAGTAACAACTATTAGCAGGATCAGGATTTTAAAGTCACAGTATTTCAAGAGAGAACTGAAAGGTTTAAAAAGTCTGACAAATCTTGAAAAGAAGGCATTTCCTCACAGGCACACACATACCCTCATCCATATCAATTGGATCGGGTCGTGCTGGTTTTGTCTCTGGATTTGGATCTATTTCTCCAGGTTTAAGCTTTCGTGGATCGTCTGTGGTTTCCTCTTCATTGTCCCTCTGGGCAGTTTTGTCCCTAGGAAAAAACCCAGATGAGTAAGTCATTTAATATTAGAATTACCAGATTGCCTAGCTCTAAAACTTTTTTTTTCCCAAAAAACCTTATATATAGACCTTAACAACATAAAGCATTTCTACCATTGCTTTCTCTGAAAGAAACGGTATTAAAATTCTCTCATTTCAGTATGACACTGGTGGCTCACACCTGTGATCCTAGCTCTTAGTAGCTGAGATAAAAGGACCAAAGTTCAAAGCCAACCTGGACAAAAAAAAAAAGTCTATGAAACTCCATCTCTAATTAATCAACAAAGAAAAAAAAATAGGATGAAGATGTGATACAAGTGGTAGAGCACCAGTTTTGAGCAAGCAAACCAAGCAAGAAAGCATGACACCAAGTTCAAGCCAAAATACCTGCATCACACACACACACAAAAAAAAAAAATCCTCTAATTTCAATATTTCTATTCACTATGTAACAGAATCCAAGCAGCAACTTAGTCATAAATACAGTAGATGGAAGTAGAAGTATGGTTCAAGAGCCTGGAGCAAAAAAAAAAAAATCAAGTAAGAGCACAAGGCCCCTAGTTCAAGAGTTCAAGCCCCAGTACTGGCATGCATACACACACACACACACACACACACACACACACACCAACAACCACACAAATAGAAACACAGTTACAAACAAACCATGAACTCTGGAAAAAAAAAAAATCAAGAGCACAAGGCCCCTAGTTCAAGCCCCAGTACTGGCACGCACGCACGCACACGCACGCACACACACACACACACACACACACACACACACTACAACCACACAAATAGAAACACAGTTACAAACAAACCATGAACTCTGGAGGCAGAGGTAGAGGGATCATGATCAGAGCTAGGCCTGAGCAAAAGTTCAAGACCCTATTTAAAAATAACCAAGCTGTGGTAAGAAATGTACGCATTATCCTGCCCATGTAATTGTAACCCCTCTGTACAGTATGTTCACAAATAAAATAAAATTATATTTAAAAAAAAAAATAACCAAGCTGGGCACCAGTGGCTCTCACCTATAATTTTATCTACTCAGAAGGCTGAGATCTGAGGATCATGGTTCAAAGCCAGATCAGGGAAGAAAGTCTGTGAGACTCTTATCTCCAGTTAACCACCAGAAAATCGGAAGTGGCACTGTGGCTCAAGTGGTAGAGTGCTAGCCTTGATCTCAAGAGCTCAGGGACAGTGTCCAGGCCCAAAGTTCAAGCCCCAGGACCAACAAAAAATAAATAAAATAAAATAAAATAACCAAAGCAAGCTAGGTGCTGGTGGCTTACTCCTATACTCCTAGCTACTCAGAAGGTTGAGATCTGAGGATCAAGGTTCAAAGCCAGACCGAACAGGAAAGTCCATGAGACTCCTATCTCCAATTAACCATCAGAAAACCAGAAGCCACGCTGCGGCTCCAAGTGGTGGAACGCTAGCCTTGAGCAAAAAAAGCTGGGGGGCGGGGGGAGGGGAGAGGGGAGGCTGGGAAGGTGGCTCAGTGGTAGAGCGCTTGCCTTGCATGCATGAGGCCCTGGGTTCAATTCCTCAGTACCACATAAGCAGAAAAAAGCCAGAAGTGGCGCTGTGGCTCAACTGCTAGGGTGCTAGCCTTAAGCTGAAGAGCTGAGGGACAGCGCCCAGGCCAAGTTCAGCCCCCCAACAGACAAAAAAGAAAAAAAGAAAAAAAAAAGCTCAGGGGCAGCACTCAGGCCCTGAGTTCAAGTCCCTACAACCAACAACAAAAAAAAACCTAAGTAACAGAAGATTTTGCAAGCATATGACATTTGGAATAAAGAAATGTTTCTCTGGCTTTAGTAACATTTATAGTTAAAAATTTAAAGACAGAAAATGCTAGATGTTTCTTCAGCCTCATTAACATAAACACATATTTTAATTTGCTTCTGAAGATTACTTACAGGAGAAACTCATAGTGTTCCAAGCACTGGGCTGCTGTTCTTCCAATGATGGGAGCAATGGTCCTCCACTGAGTTGGCATCAACTTGGCCAAGTGCAAAAGTTTCTCCTCTTCTTCTCTGGACCATTCTGTTTTTTTAATGCTTGGATCTAGCCACTCATACCTAATTAAAAGATACCATATTCATACTTTAATAAATTACTAGTATATCCAGTGTACATATTAGATATTCTGACTTGTACTGTTTAAAAAGATGCTCCTATCCTTTAATGACTAAAATTACTCTTTAGACAACAGAATATGCACTATAACATTAAACTGATCTCACTCTACTACACTGTAATTATGCAAGACAAAGAAAAAGGTGATTTGCCTAAAATGATCTTTTTCAATTACCTTTTTCATTTATTTTGTAAGAGGTTTGGAAACTATGTAGAAAACTATGTAGAAAAAGACACTGTCACCTCATTATTTTTTACAGTCTTCTTACTTTCTCAGTGTGATTGTCTAACAACTTGACTTCTTTCAAGCATTTGACTTACAACTATTAGATACTTTTCAATATTGTATGTATTTTTATATGCTTTTAAATTTAAGTAAAAGTACTATAGCATCCTGTCTTTCCAAATGTCCACCCCACCCACCTTTTCTGTCCAGTACTTAGCCAGATATAAGAGGCTGGCAAAATGGACCTAACTCCTCACAACTAAGCATCACTAACAGAAAGAAACAAGAACCACATATTCAGCCTTAGAATCATGAGCCTCTTTATACTCTAATCTCTGCATTCTGCCACTTTCCCACATAGGAAGTTGGGTCACTACTGTATAATCCAAAGTATATTCCTTGTAGCAGCTAGCTGGGGCTAGGGCTGGGACCAGATCATGCATGATAAGAGCATAGGTAAATAGCTGAATGTGTCATTACCCTGTGATGTAAAAGATGAGCCATAGATGGAAGTGTTTTAATGTGTTCCGATATATTTTAGTGTAGAAAGTACAAAGTGTTTTGACTCTATTAAAGGGAAACAACTATTTATTATATGGTTGCCTAAAAAAATTAATCATTATTGCTTATTTCTTTATGAAAATAAGTCCTAAAACAACCAATTCACAAACATCTGGACTGTAATCTTCTTTTAAGCTGGGACCCATCTGTCCCTGGAAGATTTTTACGCTTCACAAGGCACTCGCAAACACATGAACTCATTTAGATGGGGCTTCATATCTCCGTCAGTCAGTGCCAAAAGTTATTATGCCAAATTGGGAGAAAACTGGAGCAGGATGGAGGGGAAGGAAAAACAGCTTGTGTAAGACTACACAGGAAACAAGTAGCAGCTAAGCTGAAATCCTATCTCCTACCCCATGCTTTCTGTTATATCAGGAAGCCAGGGTTTTGGGGTGTTTTTTTGCTTTTTGTTTTTTCTTAGAAGATTCAAAGAACTGAGAGGAGCTCTCACTCATGATCAAGGTTGCTTTGTGTTTTCTACTTATTAACTGGTACATACCATCTGGCTTTGCATTGCTTGGCTGATTTTCTATGCAGCAGTGAGGCAATCCTAGACCACTGGTTTTTTCCATATTTCATTACCGCTGCTTTCAGAATTTCATCCTAAAATAATTGCCAAAGAAAGAGTACATTCAATCACAAAGCTTCAAGTAAAAAAAAGACAAAACAACTCTGATATGATTTCTCTAGAGACATGTACACACGCATGTGTACACACACAGACATGATACCCTTTCACTTTATCCACACTTACATATACATCCCTCCACAAACGGAAGAAGGAACAGTCCAATCTGAGAAACTTTATGATAGAGATTAATAAAAACTATTTTCCAATGTGTATTGTCATTATCTTCAAAAAGATATATTCATTTATGTGTTCATCCAAAAAACATTTCCCAGATACCTACCTTGAACCAGGCCTTATGCTCTTGGAAGGAAAATTAAATAGGACATATCCAAACCTCAAGAAGCAACTAGGGCCTGCTATTATGGATAGTACTTTCTCTCCACCCAGTAGCCCTCACAATGACCCAAGAATTCACATCTCAGGCCTAACCTAAAAATTAGCTCCACCTATCCCATCAGCTCACATAGTCTACTGTTTCTAAATACTAGTTTACCAAGGCACCAAACACAACACAGAATGCCTGACAAGCTGACAAAGACACCAAGGATGATAAGAGCCAGAGGTAAATGCATTTGGAACATTTTACTTTTAGGCTCTATCCATATTAGACTCGAGTTACAGGCTTTGAGTTTCAGACTCTCCACTGCAGAGATCAACAATAAAATACTGCAGAGCTTTGCCTACTGCCTTGGAATCCTGTTACTAGATTTTGTGCACATTTGTCTCTCCCTCAGAAATCATGTGTTCAGGGCTGGGAATGTGGCTTAGTGGTAGAGTGCTTGCCTAGCATCCATGAAGCCCTGGGTTCAATTCCTCAGTACCAATGTGGCTCAAGTCAAAAGAAGCTCAGACAGTGCCCAGGCCCAGAGTTCTAGTCCCAGGACTGGCAAAAAAAAAGGGGGGGAGGGGAAGGGAAGGGAAGGGAAGGGAGGGAGGGAGAGAGAAAGGGAGGGAGGGAGGGAAAGGAAGGAAGGAAGGAAGGAAGGAAGGAAGGAAGGAAGGAAGGAAGGAAGGACAGAAAGACAGAAAGACGAAAGAAATCATGTGTTCAACTTTAAACATCCTAGCTTCCTCATTGCAAGTTAAGGCCATTTTCACTGACAACATTCCTAACTTTAGTCAAGTTCTGCTTATACTTCAATACATCTTCAACCAAATATATATAATAGGTATCTACCCTATTAGCTTTATTCCCAAACATCTGCCAAGCAACCAAGAACCAGAGCTGCCAATTACTGAAAAGCATACTATATGCAGGACTGTGTTATACCTGTCAAATGTATAAACTCATTTCATCGGACAAGAGATAGGATTATCTCCTTTGGGAAAATGAGGTCTAGGCAAAGATACAATTATCTCCTTGAGAAAAGTGAGGGCTGGGCACTGGTGGCTCATGCCTGTAACCCTAGCTACTCAGCAGGCTGAGAACTGAAGATCACAGTTCAAAGCCAGCACAAGCAGGAAAGTCTGTGAGACTCTTATTTCCAATTAATCATAGGAAAAATAAGCCAGAAGAGGAGCTGTGTTTCAGATTCATGTGGTTCAGGTAGAGTGCTAGCCTTGAGCAAAAAAAAAAAGAGCTTAGGGACAGTGCCCAGGCCCACAGTTCAAGCCCCAGGAAAGGGGGGGGGGGGAGCGCTTTAAAGAGGACAAAGCAAACTCCAACAAATGGAGAAAGGAGTATGAGTGAGACCACTGAGGATATGATTCTTTGGCAAAGATTCCAAGAAGTGTTTCTGAACTAGACTTGCAGAAGGGTATAAAGGTCACCAACCAGCAAGAAGGTATTTCAAGAAGGTACAAAACATAAACGAGACAAGTGCATCTAAAGGTGTTTTGCAGAAAGAGATAAATTCAATGCACTCTAAACACAAAAGACACTGCAATCTAACTTCTACTTGGGCCGCTTTAGACTGCCCTTCAGCGGACCCAGGGCATTACCCACTGCCTTTGGACGAAAGGCAGTCTCTCTGGACTGGCTTCTGTCCAGGGTAAGGCGGACTGGCAGGAAGGTAAGAGGAGGACCTTGGAATTTATCGGGAGAAAAGACAAGTTACAGATAAGCAGAGATGCAGGCATCGGTGGGCTCCGCCAGCCTGGCACACAAGCTGTTTCCACTCTGCAAAGAAGTCAAGAGAAAAGCCTGGCTGCGGCTGGAGAGACTCCTCTGTGTTTTCATCAAAGGCAAGCACACCTTGCTTAAAGTCGAGAGCGAGCGAGGCCCCCAGAAAAACCACCCCTGGCGGATGTGCCGTCCCCCCCGCCCCAGAGCTCCTCCGGGACAGGGAGGGGGCGCGTCCCCCGTTCGCCAGTCAGCGTGGGGCCGGGCGACCCCGGCGGGCAATCGCAACGCCTGCCCGAGAAGCCCGGGCACACCATCCGGGCCCCCGTGCACCGCGGGCGGGCCCCGGGGCACGCCGCCAAGGCCCCGGACACACCCCGCGAGCCCCGGGCACGCCGTCCGGGCCCGGGACGCGCCCCGCGAGCCCCGTGTACGCCGTCCCGACCCCGGGGCTGGCCCTCGCGGTCCCCCACGCAGACCCCACAGGGCAGAGTCGGCGCCCCGACTCCGTGGCGCGCGTGCGCACAAACTACCAGACCCGGCGGAGGGCAGCGGACGGCGGGAAAAGAGAACTCACCTCGGTATTCCGCCACACGCCCCCTTTGATCATAATTCGAGGCATCTTGGCGGCGAGGGGTCCCGGCAGGCAGCCGAGAGGAGCTTCGGTGCAGTAGTAACGGCGCTCCGGTCACGGGACGGGACGCGACGCCGCCACTTCCTTCAGACGCGACCTTCGGCTTTGAAGTGATCGACGCAGGCGCGGGGAGGGGGGGGGGAGAGACGCGAAACCGTAAATCTCGCGAGATCTTTCTGTCTGAGGGAAAAGAAGTACCCGGTCCAAGCCTTCGGATGTCGGCAAAAAGCATCAGCCGCTCCCGGCCAAAACGTCCCACGCCGCGCGCATGTCCGAGACAGGTTGGAGGAAACGACGGCTCTCGCGAGATGCGTAGGCGGGGCCGGGCTGAGAAAACTGTACTGTGATTGGTGGTGACGTCACGCGGCGGGCGACGGTGGGAACGGAGCGTGGCGGTCCCGCTCGCTCGGTCTGCGGGGAGCTTCGCTGAGGAACGTCGCGCTCTCCGGAGCGGTTTAGCAAAAGTTCATTCAGAAGACACCCAGGAAAAGGCAGTCGCTTCGACAGCTCAGTTTTCCAGCCTGTGAAACAGAGACACTAGTGCCGAGCTTTGCCGCCCCGGCCCCGCCGCGGGGTTTCTCTGCGTGAACGGGCCTGGCCGGGCTGGGCTGGAATCTGACCTCTGTTCTCCGTGTTCTGTTTCCCCATGGGAAAAGGCGAGCTGAGAATACTTCGTTCATGAATGGTGACTACCCACGTCAAGTCTGAGATGCTCACCCTCTCCGCCCTGCCACCTCTCGGTTACCCACACGGCCTCCCGCGGAGATGGCCCCTGCAGTGTCCTCCTGGATGCTCCGGGTGGACCCGAAGCACCTGAATATTTTGTATTCCTCTTTATATTTTATTTCGCCATTTGTCCCTTCTGGAAGAGCCGAAGAACTTTCTGATTCATTTTGGGGTTTGGGGTTGGTTGGGTTTTTGGGGGATGGGGGGACGTGGGGGTGTTTACTTTGCAATGAGAAATGGCTTTTTGCATGTAATAGAGCCCTGTTTTCTGTTGAGCAACTGTGGTCATCTGTAATCGCATTTCACTTGTCTCTGCTGTCAGCTGATGGTGACTGGTGGTGACAGTCCTGTCTCTGGACCTGTCTGCAATGCTTTCCTTATAGGATAACCATTACCCCTACCCTTCCCCCTACTCGTCGTCAAACACACACACACACACACAGAGACCATTTGGTTGATCCCCTCCTTAAGAAATCAACGGAATTTTCAACACCAGGACCTAACAGAAACCGGTCTCTCTCTGTTGGCTGCTGAACCTCTAGCTTATACTACCCAGGAATTGTTTTTGTTTTTGTTTTGGGGTCCGGTCGTGGGGCCCGGGCGCTGTGCCTCAGCTCAAGGCTAACGCTCTACCACTTGAGCCACAGCACCACTTCCGGCTTTTTTCCTTTTGCTTATGTGATGCTGAGGAATGGAACCCAGGGCCTCAGGCATGCAAGGCAAGCGCTCTACCACTGAGCCACCTTCCCAGCCCCACTACCCAGGAATTGTATACTACCATTTTGAGACTATGGAAACTGCAATGGAAAGCAGGCAGGTTACAGATGCATTCAAAGGAGCAGAAAGTGGAGAGACATAGCAATAGATCCGAGCCACATCAGACACCTTAGGTGTGTGTTCCCAAGTCCTGGTTGCTACTTTATTCTTGCATTCTGATGATTTAGTTCCCCTTTTGGCATTTACCAATTGGAACTGACTTTATTACTGTTAAAGAGTCCTAATGAATCCAGAGCTGGACCCAGAGCCTTTTCAGATTTGAAAAGCCATGATGCCTTCTTCCCATTCAAAGAGACCATTATATAGTGGCCATAACTATAACATAAAGTGGTCACTTTTGTGGCCCCTAGAAGAAAGTACCTCTTAAGACACTTTAGTATCTACACACTACTATAAGGAATTTAGTTTCATTAATATCTACCACATGAGGCTGGGAAGGTAGCTCAGTGGTAGAGTGCTTGCCTTGCATGCATCAGGTCCTGAGTTCGATTCCTCAGCACCACATAAGCAGAAAAAAAAAGCCCGAAGTGGCGCTGTGGCTCAAGTGGTAGAGCACTAGCCTTGAGCTGAAGAGCTCAGGGAGAGCACTCAGGCCCAGAGTTCAGGGCCCACGATCAACCAAAAAAAAATATCTACCACATAAATTGAGCCCCCCCCCCCGCCCCATGCATTGCATAGCCAACACACACAGCAGCCCTATCAACTGTCCAAGGCACCTCTGAGCACACAGACTCCATTTTCAAGATGCAGAACATGCACTCTCTGAATGGTTGAAACCAAAACCCTATAGTCAACATTTACCATATCACCCTAGTTTTACCAGTCAGGATGGGGAATCCCACCAATTGAAAAATTGACCACCACCACCAAGCAACTGCTATAAAATTTCTAGCAGGGGGCTGGGAAGATGGCTCAGTGGTAGAGTGCTTGCCTTGCATGCCTGAGGCCCTGGGTTCGATTCCTCAGCACCACATAAGCAAAAAAGAAAAAAAGCCACAAGTGGCGCTGTGGCTCAAGTGGTAGAGCACTAGCCTTGAGCTGAA